GATATTGCAGAGCCGGGTCAGCCAACCCAGCCCCACAACATCCAGAACCTTAGGGAACTCCGGGCGGATCTCATCCACCCCTGCTCGGCGCTTCTCAGTGGGAGCAACTCCAGAGTGGTAGAAAGTCCAACCTCTCTCAAGGAAACTGGTTCCAGAGCCAGAACCATGCGTTGAGGTGAGTCTGACTATATCTAGTCAGAACCTCTCAACCTCACACACCAACTCAGGCTCCTTCCCCACCAAAGAAGTTACATTCTATGTGCAAAGAGCCAGCTTCTGTAGCCGAGGATCAGACCGCCAAGGTCCCCGCCCTCGACTACCACCCGTCACACACTGCACCCACAGCCGGATTAACGCAAAGGCAAAGTAGGCACGTGCCTAGGGCCTGATTGGCTGGATGGGGCCCAGACAGAGGAACAAAATTATAAATAAATAAATTAAAAATTAAATGTACACATGTCCTATGATAGAATTTGTAGCTAGGACTCCTATCTACAATTTGTTTCAATATTTATTAATTAACTAAAAATAGTGACAATGTTTATCTTAACCATAGACCGTTTCATTGGCTACGTCACATTAAACCTCTGGGGTCCACGGACAAGTATATGCGTCTTTTGAACAGGTCTGATTTGGGACGCTGTAGCAGCAAGACTTTGCCTCCCTGAGTTTCGGTTTCAATTCAGCTTTAAAAAGCAGATTATAAACTACACCCCAGTTTTAAAATTTTGTTAATAGGCAACGTAAAAGCGGAGCTATACTAAACTAAAAAATGACCTATTTTTAGACAATCTGATAACTTGTCAAAACAGCGGTTTAGTAATCTGTGAGCGGGAATGTGCTTGTGAACATAAAAAACTCACAAAAACACGAGATCCTTTTGCTGTTGGTGGACGTCTCACATATTCAGCTGATAAAAAGTATCACACGAGTAACGAGATGTGCGCAAAAAGGAGCCGCTTCGCGGGGAAAGGAGTGGCGCGAACGGAGTAACAACAAACAATTAGACAGATATTGACGGTAAACTTTGTATTTTGGAGCGATCCGGACAGATATATTGTCTCTGCAGTTTAGTAGGCTTTTATTAGGCTTTAATAAAGGATTATGAGAAGGATAAATGTCCACCAGGCAGTTCAGATAGTACGGCTGTTTTTTGAACTGGAAGCAGAGGAAGTGGACGGAGACTCGCAGCCGGAGTCTGAGGCAAATAGCGAGGATGATGATGATGATGTGGCAGATCCATCCTTCCTCATAGAAGAGTGGGGTCATGATGAGGTAGAGGATGAAGGCAGAGATCCAGCTCCTCGGAGATCCATCAAGAGGAGTGGGCGGCGCCGCGCAGCTGTCAGATCTCGGCGTGAGACGGAGCCACTCCCCACTCCAAAATCCATGTACATTATTGCCAAATTAATAAAATAAGTATAAATTCAGATAGTCCAGGTTGTCCTGAAATTAATGATACCCCATAAGGCAATATTTATTGTTTTTATTAGAAAATACAAAAGAAAAACCAAAATGAGTCAAAAACGGTGATTTACACTCTGGATCCCAGAGAGCTAATAACTTTTTTTAATTAGTTATTTGCTATATTTAGTCATATTTTTTATAAATGTACAGTCTAGATTACCAGTCTAAATGATAAAAGACATTTGTCATAAATGTTTGTTGGTTTCACAGTAAAATAAACAACTTTTTTCCTATTCAGATTTTATGTTTTTGAGTGATTTAAGGTCTAATACGCAACCCCTTTATGTCCAAATATACAAAATAAGTATAGATTCATAAAGTCCAGGTTGTGCTGAAAAGATTGATACCACATAAGGCAGTGGTTATGGTTTTTATTTTGGAAATACAAAGGAAAACTCACTGCAAATTACACCCTGGACCCCAGAGGGTTAAGGCGCCACCCAATGAAGGACGTCAGAGAAGCGGTCAGAGTTAGAGCGGGACACAACAAAGCTAGCAGGTGTTTTTGAGTAGGCTAACTTTCACGATGCTTTCGGGTGCGGCAAAACGTAAAAAAGAAAAATATTTAAATGAAGAGGAACTAAAGAAGAGACAGCGGGGGGGCTTTACAGAAGTTTCTGTCGGGCTGCTCGGGCAGCTGTCCGACAGCTGTGAACATGCTCGAGTCAGCAGAGCCAGAGGCCGGGCCCAAGTCAGACCCGGAGGAGACACAACCCGAAGACGCAGTGGAAGATGTGGCGGAAGATGCTGTAGCGCCAACGCCGTCAACATCAGCGCCTTCACAGAAGGACAAACTGGAAGAACAGCAGCCAGCCAGAAGTGAGCCCAATATAGTCTTATAGGAGCCCCTAGACCCAGACAGGGTATTAACAACTAGCTACCCATCTGATCCTGCAAAGTGGTACCAAACTGATGAGTTCTTTGCACTAAACTATCCCTCTCAAAATATTGGATATTCTTCTGCATCACATAGGAAATCTGGAGACATAGACTGAAGCTTAACCAAGGAACATTTCTTTAGACGTGTTTCTGCTGTGATTGAGGCCCTGTGATGCTGGAAGGCTGAAGATTATCCCGGAGTAGAGAATGCTAAATGGTTTCCTTGGTAAGTGTTGCTGGTTTTATTAATTATTTGTCAAATAATTTTATTAATGTTCAAATAGCAAAACAATAAGTTCACACTCAGAAAATTGACAGAATTTCTGATTCAGCAGAGGCAACAGCCTACAACACATGACTTATTTTGGCATACAAACAACCAATTTATAACCAAAAACTAGGCTATGTAAAATGTGAATGAACTTTTATAAGTAAATTTTGTAAGTTTCAGATTTCAATTCATTACATAACATCGATGGAGGGGGGCCCTAAAAATGCAGCCTGCCTAGTGTAGTCCATTTATTTAATCCGGCTCTGACTGCACCCGACCCGTTTGGCCCCTCCCACGAGTGGTGAGCCCATGGGAAGGGGGATCCACGTTTCCTTTTTGGGCTCTGCCCGGCCGGGCTCCATGGGTGAAAACCCGGTCACCAGGCGCTCGCCAGCAGGCCCCACCTCCAGGCCTGGCTCCAGAGGGGGGCCCCGGTGACCCACGTCCGGGCGAGAGAACACGGTCTCCATTTATATAATTCATCATAAGAGGTCTTCGGGCTGCTCTTTGTCTGATCCCTCACCTAGGACCTGTTTGCCATGGGTGACCCTACCAGAGGCAGAAAGCCTCGGACTACTTAGCTCCAAGGATCATTGAGACACTCAAACCCCTCCACCATGGTAAGGTGGCAGCCCAGGGAGAGGAAAACATGCATAAAAAGTATTAAAATGTGTCAAATGCAAACCAATAACTTTACCCAAAACTTTAAGTGCTTCAGACTGAGTGAATCTAGTATTTGCCTACATTTAAATGTCCCTTCAGGTTGTTTTACAGCAGTATATGGGCTACATAGAATTGTTACGTTGAACACTGTCACTGGCTTCAATCAGCTCCAAAACAAGCTGGTGAAAGTAACTTTATACATTTGGACTTTGTTCACTGTTCACATTAGGTTGGGTTTCCGATCCTCTCTCTGATTCTGTCGTGCTGTCACCAGGATGTTGATCCTCTTCCATTTGTGGAAAGAACTCGTCACGTACGAACCCTGGATTTGTCTGTTCCCTTCTGTGGTGAATACGAACCTCTTCGAATATCTGAAGAACCTTGAAATCAAGTCAAAAAAAGTAAAACTTGGATGAACACACTCAATAAAAAATAACAATTTTACATTGAATGAAGAGAACTGATTGTATTTAGAATACCTTGGATTTAGGAATCAGACCCACTCTGAAGAAACCAATGTTCCCAGTATCAATCTTTGTGCAGTCGACGAAGTAGATGCAATGGTTTTTGGAGGCGGTCCATCACACAACACTCCATCCACCTACATCCAAAGAAACATCAAAGTACCTCACAAAAAGTCCAACAAATCTTTATTTCCTGCTTTTTTATGAACACTAAATCATTCCCTTACCTTGTCTCCCAGTTTGGCGTGAACCTGGTTATGATGAGTAGTAACTGCCTCGCCAGTGGGGTTGGCTGAGGTTACAGCAATAGGTCACACCTGAGAGAACCAAATATGATTTTTCACTGATGGTTCTGCTGTTTTAGCTTCTTTTATTCTAAGATGTGCAGTAATAAATGCTCAAGGATTTATCTGATTAATGAGATGTGTAGCCTCTGCAAAGTCTGGGTTTCTGATTGCTTTGTGGAGTCCCTGTGTGTATGGCAGCATCTCCTGGAACAAAGAATGCAGACAACCATCATCGGTCAAGAAGATGGAAACGTACTTGTAAGCTCTGGTGACTGCATCAGGCCTGTTGCAGGCTGCTACCATCACATAGACGGTGTCGGTTGGCTCATGAGGATGAGCTGGAAGGTGAATGCTTACTCCAACCAGGCTACATTTAGAAACAGTGCTGAATTTGTCACCAGAAGGTTAAACAGCATGAAGCTGATGATCCCAACGGCCACATTAAAGCCTCTGGTTTCACCGTACAGACCTCCATATTGTGTCAGCCCCCAAACTGTCCACATGACCCCGTACAGAATAAAGACAGTACTCTCAAAGGTTTTACCCCGAGCGAATGCTACCGAGCCACACAGGAGCTGCAGAACCCCACCAGCCACCACCACCCAGGGCAGAACCAGCACAGACTGAGGAGTTCTGCCACCAACTGTGGCTGTGATGGCAAAAGCAGCCAGAGCATTGCAGGCATGACCCAACACCTCTGCATCTGCATATTTGGAGTAGCCCGGGCGAGGTTCATGTCGCTCTTTATCAAGAGCTCTGGGCTTGAGTTTCCCCATCCTGCTTACTAGGGCTGGGCGAAAAATCGATCAAATGAATTAATTCAAATTATTTTTTGCGGGCGATTCATAAAGTAGGTAAATCGAGTTTTTTGTAATGGCGCCTTTTTGGCCCTCCGGAGGTCCCGTAGCATCAGGTTCCTCACCCACGAGCGAGCGATAACACACAAAACAACAGACAGCAAGCGACCACATGGCGACCGGTGACGGCGGTGAGAGTGGGAAGTTTGTTCCGAAGAAAGGGATAAAATCATCTGTTGTTTGGAACTGGTATGGGTTTGCTGTAACAGACATAAAACAAGAGACCCCACGCTGCAACCTTTGTCTAAAACCCGTCGCAATCAAAGGCAGCAGCACCACTAACTTGTTTCAACATCTTAAACAGAGGCATCCAGCCGAACACGAAAAATGCCAGTCTCTCCGAGACGAACAGAGCCGCAGTGACCAAGAGCCAGTGGCTAAAAAACAGCTAACTGTAGCCGAATCGTTCGCACAGGGGACCGCATATGACAAGAAAGGGGCCCGGTGGACTACAATCACCGACGCGGTCGCTTTGTACATAGCAAAAGACATGGTACCCATATATACCATGGATAAGACGGGGTTTATAAATTTGATGAAAACATTGGATCCCAGGTATGAGCTACCCAGCCGAAAGTATTTCAGTGAAGTAGTCTTGCCGCAGATGTACAGAAACACACGCAAAAAAGTTGGCAGAGAACTGGAGGAGCTGTCCTTTTTTTCGGCAACAACCGACATGTGGAGCAGTCGAACAATGCAGCCGTATATGAGTTTAACAGTGCATTTCATTAACAATGCGTGGGATTTACGCAGCATTTCCCTCCAAACGTCATACTTTCCCGAGGACCACACCGGTGAACTTATCGCCAAAGGACTGAGAGACGCTCTTGACTGCTGGAACCTGTCTGAGAATCGTCTATCCTGCATGACGACTGACAGCGGGACCAACATGATTAAAGCCCTGAAAGTGAACGGATGGCCAAACCTCCAGTGCTTTGGACACAAACTACATAACGCTATCGGTAATTTTCACAATAAGTAAAATAAAATATTACATTTCGACAGAGCACATCAAACCACAGCCAAGCTGGATGACGCTCGTCTTTCACTACTGTAGCAATGGAAATCGCATTGATATTGTTTGTGTTCCGCCCGGAGGTTTTAGAGTGTGACACTGCAGGAGCGGCAGGTAAACATAAATGCTACCAGTTTGACACTGGAAAGTTGAATAAAGATTTCCTGTTGAGAGGGTAAAGTTCAAAGTTAAGTTTGGAAATGATTGTCATTAAATTGAGTTTTGTATTATGAAAATGGATTAATTCGGTTTGAAAGTTCTACTGCAAATTGAGCCTCCAAACACTCACTTTCACCCCCCTCCCCTCAGGTTCAGTTTAGCTTATTTAAATTTGCTTCTGAAACTGAAAATTGTATTTCAACCTGGAGTAATTCAAATTCAGTTCCTAATGGCACAGAATATTAATCATGTGTCCTTTTGAATACTCTTTCTTCTAAATATGTTAATATTATTTGTGCTTATTTATAACTGTGCTACTGCAAAGTTCTGCCCATGGATTAAAACATAAAAATAATATACACCAAACAAATATTCAGTGTAACAACTGCAGGAGTTACTGTGTTCATACATAAGAAGACATACAGAAGACATCATTTTTAGGTGGATGTAGTTGTTTATTCAAGTCCCCAATAGTGATGTATGTCTTTGTGTTTTATTCTTTATCATACAGAGAATGGTGTTAAGGATCCCCGCATAGACCGAGCCATTGGAGTTTGCAAGAAGATAGTTGCTGCTTTTTCCTACAGTTGGAAGAAAAGAAGAGAGCTGGGTTTAGCTCAGTCAGAGCTGGGCCTCCCCCCTCATCAGCTTATAGTAGAATCTCCAACCAGGTGGGGCTCCCGCCAAAAGATGATCGAGCGATTCCTGGAACAGGAGAAGGCTATTGCCCGTGTCCTGGGGTCTGAAGTTAAAAGCCGCCATCTCGTGCCCTCTTGGCAAGACATCGAGGTTTTGGAGTCAGTAAACAAGGCGGTTAAAGCACTCCAAGATTTTACAGATGCTTTATCAGGGGAAATGTATGTTAGTGTCTCATACATCAAGCCTGTTATCCATCTGTTCAAAACAAGTCTTTTGCAGCCTGAGGACAACGACACAGAGCTTACCAAAACAACCAAAAGCAACATACTGGGATACCTTGTTAACAAATACAGCAATCCTGTCAAAGATGAACTCCTGGACATGGCCTCTCTGATGGATCCAAGATTCCGGACATCCTACATCGACCCAGACAAGGTGGAGCAAATCAAAAGAAGAGCTGTCAGTGAACTTCTGTCTTTCCCCACTGACAAAAGCACACCACAGCCTGGTCCAGTTGTGCAGGTGGACCAAGAGGCAAGGCCTCAGCCAAATCCCAAGAGGAAAAAGAACTTAGCAGCTTTCTTCAAGAAGAGTGTGCCAACCCCTGGCCCTGACCAGTCAGAAGAGACTAAAATAGAGACTGAACTTGCAACTTATCTGCTCATGCCAGAGGTAGATCCTGACACTGATCCACTGCAATGGTGGAAGAGCAACAAATCAAACTTCTCAAGGCTCAGTCACCTGGCCAAGAAATACCTCAGTATCCCTGCAACAAGTGCCCCATCTGAGAGGCTATTCAGTGTGGCAGGGGGAGTTGTCACACGCAGCCGAGCTTGCCTCAAGCCAGAGGCAGTGGACAGGCTGATTTTCCTTGCCAAAAATGTGTAAATGTTATTGACGGAAACTTAAGCACAGATCTCATGTTCAGCAGCTCAACCAAAATGTGATTTTTCTCCTGTTTCTACATTCAGGGACACAAATCGTTTGTTAAAGTTATATATATTTTTTACCAACGTTGGCACTTTATCAGTTTCAGTTGGAGTTGACGTATTATTTATTTTGCAATTTTTGTACTCTAAATTTTTGTTTACATTAGTATTTTACCCAAGAAAGAAGTGTTGCACTTATGTTTTTATTTAAAATTATATGCAAAGTAAATCATTTACCGTAAATGCAAGTTAAAGACAGATAATTTTTTTCTGTTTTTGGATTGAAAAGTAAGATGCATTTATCCCTGTTAGTTGTCGCACTGTTTGGGTTGGTTTAGTTTTACCTGTATTTGAATGTATTGTTAATGTTTGAGAAAATGGTGTTACTCTAATGGGAATGTTTGTCTCATTTCAGTCATACAACAAAGTATGACTCAAAACGCACCTGGCACTTTGATTCCAAGAGGGTTTTCAGTTATTCACTATTCATCCCTGAAGAGCATTACACATTTTGCTTTTGATTAAATAAAAGCAAAAGTAGCTTCAAGTGGTCTGCTGTTTGTACTTCTTGAAGTCCTTTTCTGGGGGGGGGGGGGGGGGGGGGGGGTTAATTGGAAAAAATCGGAAATCGAATTAAAGCAAATAAAATCGGAGATTTTATTTTTTGGCCATATCGCCCAGCCCTACTCGTTACTAAAGCCTTAAACACACCCTGCCCTGCAGGAATCTTGGTACTGGAAACCATGTTGAATGCAGTGATGAACAGCATTCCAGACGTAGCTACAAATATAGCACCCTGCACTCCCTGAGTACCTCCTTGGAAGAAGCCTTTGGGCTGTGCTGCAATGGAAATACAATAGGCTACAAAGAATAACTGGTAGAGGCCCACCAGCAGGCTCTTTTGACAGCTGAATAGGGTCAGAGTGGAGAAAAGCACCGCAAAGACAACAGGAAAGGGAAGCGGAGAGAAAGGCTGGATGGAGTACCAGGACAACAAAGCACTGTAGCCCTCTGCAAACCTCAGCAGGGCTGTAAAACCATAGAAAGTAGCAGCCAGTATGTCCAAAGATCGATAAAAGAGGACACACAGGCTTAGCTGGAAGACTCCAGCTGTCCACAGCATGGGGACAAGTCCAAAAGAGAACAACACGTGAATGGGGACAGGCCAACACAGAGGCAGACAACAAGTTCATCACCAAACCTACACTTGCTACATCACTGCACCTCTGGTTCTGGTCTCTTTTCAGCTCAGCTATCAGCTTCAGGGCAACTCCTGGGGGTCTCACTTTACCCTGAGTGATTGTGGACAGAAGACGTCCAAATCCAAAGTGAACACACACCAGACAGACAAGAAGGTAGTTTGCAGCAGTGGCAGACTTTCCAAACCCTGCAGCACACAGGTCAGCGATTTGATGGGCAGAAGCTAAAGAAATGCAGACGCCTATGAGGAACAGAACCTGTGTCTTCACAAAGAGTGCAACACTGCCTATGATGAACAAGGCTAGAGTAAACGCTGCCAGACCAGGAACCAGTGAGGCTTTCAGGTCTGTGAGCTGCAGCACCCCCTGTCCTACCAGAATGTAGATCAGACCTGAGCCACACCACAGAGCAGAGACAGTGAGACACAGAGTGGAAAACAGCTGGGCGTGGGACAGGCTGTGACGGACACCTAGGAGGGAGAGACAGTCCAGTTAGCAGGCTGGAAACAGGAAGTAAATCACATTGGTCAGCAGAAACTCCTTCAAAACAAACCTGCATAAGCTACAAGGACTGTGATGATGAGGAGCAAAACCCCCAGGGCAGTGTGGGGGATGAAGTATTTTAGAGGAGAGCTGGCAGACCCGTTCACCAACAGCAGGAGAGAGCCTAACAACACAGACATTGTTGTGTGGGTTAGGGTTGCTTCAGCTGTTGAAAAATAATCAGAAAAAAGGCTAAAAAAGGCATCAGATGCTTCCATAGGCGTCATTTTAACCGGGGACGCCGGGGACATGTCCCCGGCAAAATTTGTGATTAGCAGCTGTGTCCCCCCCACTTTCAAAAAAGCCTGCTGATGAGGATTTTTGTTTTACCAGCTCAGATCTTATACCAGGGGTCGGCAACCTGTTCCCATCAAAGAGCCATTATTACCCGTTTCCCACAGTAATGAAAACACTGGGAGTCACAGCGGCCACAGCGTTGTGGGCGGGGCCTACCCTCAGACAGCAGAGAGCTGCTCACAACCAGGTGACAGCAGCCGGAACCGGTCGCTCGCATGGACATCGCACCCGTGGGGGATTCAACACCCACACTTTTCCAGCTGTTTTGCTCACCTCCACACCAGTCTGGTTTCTTTATGTCGCACTCACTCTGTTTGCCTCATCTCCTTCTTCACCTCCCGCTTCTGACAGCCGATGTCGGGTTTCCAGGAGAGCAGGAGAGGGAGGGATGGAAGAGCTCGACTGAATTCATAATTTTACATCTTGACATTAGCTGTACAAAGTCTGAGTTTGATAAAGCGAAGAACAACAATTTGCAAAGGTTTGGGCCACGGTAATTTTGGACGGACCTAAATAAGCAGTGACTTAAGTGAAGCAGGCAGGTCGCGCTAGGGAAATTTCGTTTAAAAAGACGTCATAAATGTGTTCCCCCGTCATTTTTATTTCTAAAATATGAAGTAAAAACTCCCAGTTTAATTTTCATTCATTTGTCATTAATATGTAGTCTACACCCGTGCGTTAAGTGGACCATCTTCCAGTAAAAGCAAAGCATCCAGTCCACCTCTCCAAATGCGTAAAATGTGCATCACAGCCGCTAGTTAGGCGCGCCGCGCGCACCATCAGCTACGTCAGCCCAGACAAGAGCAGAGCAAATAGAGAAAGAATAGAGGATAATTGTGTCTGGATGTGGATGGAGATTACATTTTACAGCAGCCTGATCATCATTTAAATACGTAAACCATCACCTGTCTTCTAGTCCACGCTATCAGCATTATTTTAATTGGTGTGTGTGTGTGTGTGTGTGTGTGTGTTTTCCACTTCAAACACTGGTCTAACCAACCAGACCAGCGTGTCCAGTAACATTAATGTTACAATTAAACAGTTTCACTTCATGTAGGCTAGGAACATTTCACCTGCCGTGGCCCGACCGCTTCTGCTCCACATAAACTTTGTGCATGATCAAATGTCTCTACGTGTCATGCGTCTCCATATTAGAGACGGGAACAAGCGCTGTTCAGCCAAAGTTTCATAATTTCATAAAAAGAGCATTTTTCCAAGTGACACATCCCTCAGAGAGACTGGGTTTCCAGACCGCTTCAGTGGGAGGAAATCTTATGGCATGCGCTGTGGTTCTGCACTGCGCTGCGAACCCCTCTAGATCTTCAGCCCACTGTGCGCCGTAGGCGCTCCGAGCCACGCTGAACACAGTGTCCAGTATAAAGCTCTGATGGGAATCAAGTTACCTCTGCGATTTGCGTTAACAATTAAAATGTCAGCTCATCCATGCGCATCAGTGTGCGTCAGGGTAATTCTTTCAAAACAACCAACATCCTTGAGTTTATCCGTCAATATGTGGCAAGGTGGAGAAACGAGGGCCCGGGCGGGATTCGATCCCCAGACTCCCGGGTGAGAGTCATACGCTCTAACCAGTCAGCCGAAAGGACAGCCCCTTGGCCAAATAGCCAGGGCGCATTATCTATCGGGACACTGTGACAGGACATACACACTGCCACACCTGATTATGAAACTTTGGCTGAATAGTGCTTGTTCCTGTCTCCAATGTGGCAACGCATCCAGGAACCGTCTGAGGAGAAGCCCAGAATCTGACAGCCTCCAGCTCAGGAAGCGCCTATGATTACGCACAAGCGTGACACGTCAAGCCGGTCTCACAGTAAGAACGGGTTGGACCTGTTCAGGTTTACGCAGACAATATTTACATTTAGAATTGGCATATAGATGTAAAATTAATACAGTAAAATATAAAGCTTTTTATTTAAATATCCATTCATTATTATACAAGCACAGAGAGCCGCATCAGATGGATGGAAGAGCCACATGCGGCTCAGTAGCCGCCGACCCCTGTGCTAGCCTACTTTATTGTCCCCAGCAATTTTTAAACCCCACTCAAGTGTATGGTTATTGTCCCCAGCAATTTTGAAAACAAACTGACGCCCTTGGATGCTTCTAGACTTAATCATGCAGTACACTAAAGACACGTTTGCTGTGATTTATTGGTAACAGAACAAGATATAGGTGGAAGACCGGAGAAAGCCAGAGGAAGAGTCGCCTGGCTGCTTGTGTTTGTCTGATCTGATTTGCACATATCTGTGCCATGTCTCATTTTTGGCTCCATTAGTGTTTTAAGGGTTTTAGTTTGAACTGTTTTAGATGGGAGAAAGCCATAATGCTTTTTGGCTTTTAAAACAGACGAGGGACCAGAGTGCTGGCTCCCTCTCAGCTCCAAACATTTGTGAGTATGGTCAGTAGACCTCTGTGACATGTGTGGGAGCTTTTTAGATGTCTGTTTTAATTGAAAATCTCCATTTTAATCATGTATAACCATCTGTCTTTTTAACACTGTTATTTAGCTTTTAGACACTCCACGGTCAGAGATCAGCGGTACTTAGCTACATGCTAACCCAAAGCTAACAGAGTTTTCCCGGGCGTTTTTAGCAAGAAAACCTCTAAAGTGAAGGCACCTCTGGCCTGCTTAGTAATGAAATCTTAACTAGGTAAGCTGACCGAGGACATCGGGCTAACACTCACAGTTCAGTGCAAACTAGATCTATTAAGCCTAAAATGATTTTTTTTTAACCAGGCTATTTATTTCTGTTGTGAAACTGGCATTTTTAACATGGGATTTGCTCACTTCTGGTGCGCGCGCACACAAACACACACACACACACACACACACACACACACACACACACACACACACTGGCAGGCAACAACATCAACATCCATTACTGTAACAGAACAA